AGAGCTGTGCAAAGGTACCAACTTTTGATAGTTTAAAAGATGGTTCAAAAGTTTTAAAATTCCACAATGGTAGACAGAGACTGCTGTGGCTTGGCTGGTTCTCTTGCTGAAGCTGGTTTAATTAGATTAGAAGTTTTCCAATTTTAGTATGTAGAACAGTTGAACGTGGTCCATGTAAAATTGACTAATCTCATTGTATGGGCTTTGTTACTATTTCCCCCCCCCCTCAGGCAACAGTGTCCTAACTGTAGCTAAGTATGTCACCACCACAACATATGAATACAGGGTTATTAAGCAGCTGAAGACAAAGAGATGTGGTCCGTAAGTCAAGCAGAAAAGCATGTGAACTGTGAGATGGGATCCACACTTTGGAAAAGTTTAAAGAATTCTCATGTTATACAGCCAGATTTAATTTTCATCTGGCACATTCTTCCCTAATGCAAAACATTTCCACAAAGAATCTCCCCACCTCCCCTGCCCACACTAATCTTTGCAAGAGGCCCAGCAGTAAATTTGGGATTTTTTAAAACAATGACTACTTGTTATCATGTTCTGTTTCTTTATGCCATCTTGAAGCTAATCAGAGCTAACTTATTTCTAGTCCTAAGAGGATATATTTCCCTTACATTCTGAAACAAAGGTTAATTTCACACAGCTGGGAATGGCTCTGGATTTTTCCAGCAATGGGCTGGCCTAGAGCCAATTTTATGTTGCATATGTGTTCCATGAGTCCATGATAAGCATGTGACCAGCGCTTAATTTCAGCCAGGGTGCCTATGGGCTGGTTCCAAAGCCCAGAGTTCGTTCTCTGTGCCAGGACTCTGTGTGTGTTTGTGTGTGTGTGGAGAGAGAGAGAGAGAGAGAGAGAGAGGAAAGAAAGAAAGAAGAAAGAAAGAAGAAAGAAGAAGAAGAAAGAGAAAGGAGGGAGTGTGCCTAAGTCTTTGTAGAGAATGGTAATGCAGAATTGGGTCCCACACTGATAGGGAGAAAAATTCAGGTTAAAGGACATGGGTTTTAGGTGAGATTCAGACTTAGCACCTCAGCATGATAGGATCCTAGCTGGTTCAGCTAATCACTACAAAGGAGAGATTAAGTTTTTTTTTACCTGTGCTGAAACAATAAAGGCTGTTCTTGCAGCAAAACCACTGCAGCTAACCTGAAATGCTGCTGGTTTCATGCTCCCAAAAGGGACAGCCGTGCCTGAAAATGTTGTCCAATTCTGCCCTCCAAAATAAAAAGTTATAGGTGTTTCATTTCTGTCTCTCTTAAAGAAAACATTAAAAGTGTTGTGTCCCCCCCCCAACCCTAACCCTGAGCCTATTCGCCTGTAATTTGGCAAACCTTATGCACTCTGGATAACATGCCTGCAAATTTCATCTACTTCTATCAAAAGAAAAGCGAAGTTATAGCTGTTTTTTTTAAAATTTCCCTGTAGTGAAATGCAGGGCTGGGGTGGAACAGAGCAGACTTGGGCAGTCCCTGAGCCAAATTAGGCAGCCCATGAAGCACCTCAGATCAAGGTGACCTGTTTTCTGAAGCACTGAATCTTAGGGTCAGTAAACCAAATCTTGTGGTGACTAGAAACTTTCAGTTTTTGCCTGCTGGCAGAAGGACCATCAAGGGGAACAAGTGAGCTTCTCTTGGTAGGGAGGTCCAAAGTCTGGGTTCAGCCACTAAGAAGGCTCTTGTTCAAGTTCCTACCAAACATGTCAGATGTGGCAGGACAGAGAAAAACTCCTCTGTAGATCTTAGTGCCCAGCATCAGGCAAATAGCTTTAAAAAAAATAGTAATCTAGGCCCTTTCAAATTGTATGAGCAGTTTAATTTCTACAATTCACTTAAGTTTTAGGATTTGGTTTTAGCTCTGTGAGGTGTTTTGTGGTTCTCATTATATATATGTGGCCGAACCTACATTAACCTTGGCTCTGAAGTGGTTTGGTTCTTTTCTATATGGTTTTCTCTGCTGTTGCTTATATTGATTGATGGTTTTGGATTTTAATCTGTCAGCAAGAGAACTCTGGTTATGGAGCCATTAATAAATAAATAATAATAGACATTGGCTTTCAAAATATTGCCAGGTGAGGCGAGGGGGCAAGGTAGAATTTGAGACTTTGGGATGGGACAAAATAGGCTTTTATGGGCTGGAACAGAGTCTGGAAAACTAGAGCATGATAAGTAGGGGGGAGAGGGAATTGCTGGGAAGTTTTAGACCCTCATCTTGGTTACTTGTAAAGATTGGAATATCGTTACCTGAAGAACTGGTGTGGAGGACTCCCTGGTCCTGAATAGGGTAACTGTGCCCCTGAAGGACCAGGTGCGTAGCATGGGAGTCATTTTGGACTCACAGCTGTCCATGGAGGCGCAGGTCAATTCTGTATCCAGGGCAGCTGTCTACCAACTCCACCTGGTACGCAGGCTGAGACCTTACCTGCCCGCGGACTGTCTCGTCAGAGTGGTGCATGCTCTAGTTATCCCCCGCTTGGACTACTGCAATGCGCTCTACGTGGGGCTACCTTTGAAGGTGACGCGGAAACTACAGCTAATCCAGAATGCGGCAGCTAGACTGGTGACTGGGGGCGGCCGCCGAGACCACATAACACCGGTCTTGAAAGACCTACATTGGCTCCCAGTACGTTTCCGAGCACAATTCAAAGTGTTGGTGTTGACCTTTAAAGCCCTAAACGGCTTCGGCCCAGTATACCTGAAGGAGCGTCTCCACCCCCATCGTTCTGCCCAGACGCTGAGGTCCAGCGCCGAGGGCCTTCTGGCGGTTCCCTCATTGCGAGAAGCAAAGCTACAGGGAACCAGGCAGAGGGCCTTTTCGGTAGTGGCGCCCGCCCTGTGGAACGCCCTCCCACCAGATGTCAAAACGATAAACAACTACCTGACATTCAGAAGACATCTTACGGCAGCCCTGTTCAGGGAAGTTTTTAATGTATGATATTTTAGTGTTTTTTGGTTTCTATGGAAGCCGCCCAGAGTGGCTGGGGAAACCCAGCCAGATGGGCGGGGTACAAATAAATAATAATAATAATTATTATTATTATTATTATTATTATTATTATTATTATTATTATTACTGCTTGTATGAACCTGTCAGGGTTTAAAACATTCTTCAGAAACGCTTTTCTGAATACCTCCAGTGTCTTCAAAAGTAGGGTTTTGGTGTCCAACACATGGGGCTGGCTCAAGACATTTTGGCACCTGAGGCAAACCACAAATGCCCAATGCCAGGGAAGGAGGGGTGAGTGAACATCTACATCAGGAACAGGGTGCGAGACCAGATCAAGCTTACTTGATGGTTGAGAATCAAAGGCTGTTGTGGTGGGTGCAGAGCCCAAAGATGCCCTCCAGGAGGCCAAGGACCCCCATACACACTGCCCAGGTTTGCGTCCCTGAGAGGTCACTTTGGCACTGCAAATGCAACGGTTTCACTTCACCCCGGAGGTGCACCCCATTGTCTCTCGAGGCGAATGGATGCAGACAATGACATCTATGTGGAGATGCAACTTTTTGTGTGCATGCCTCTCTCTGTGTGAAGGGGGACCTTTATACGCCTATGCCCGTTGGTGTGTATGTGTGGGGAGAGCTTGTGTGTAAGGCAGCCTTTCATGCCTGTGTGTTTGTGTGTGTGTAGGTAGGGCCTTTTTTGTTTATATGCCTGTTTGTGTATGTAAAGGGGGGCCTTTTGTGCATATGCCTCTGTGTGTGTGTGTGTAGTGAACTTTTAATGTATATCCCCCTCTCACCGTGTGTGTGTGTGTGTAGGGGGGCCTTTTTGTGTACGTGCCTGTGTGTAGGTAGGACCTTTTTTGTTTATACGCCTGTTTGTGTATGCAGGGAGGGGGCCTTTTGTGTATATGCCTCTGTGTGTGTGTGTAGTGAACTTTTAATGTATATCCCCCTCTCACTGTGTGTGTGTGTGTGTGTGTGTGTGTGTGTGTGTAGGGGGGCCTTTTTGTGTACGTGCCTGTGTGTAGGTAGGACCTTTTTTGTTTATACGCCTGTTTGTGTATGCAGGGAGGGGGGCTTTTGTGTATATGCCTGTGTGTGTGTTAGGAGTGCTTTTAGTGCATATCCCCTCTCACTGTGTGTGTGTGTGTGTGTGTGTGTGTGTGTGTGTAGGGGGACCTTTTGTGTGCATGCCTGTTTGTGTGTGTATAAGAGCCTTTAGTGTATATCCCTCTCATGCTTGTGTGTCTGTGTGTAGGGGATACCTTTTGTGTATATACCTATGTGTGCTGAGAGAGCTTTTAGTGCATATCCCCCTCTCACTGTGTGTGTGTGTGTGTGCGTGCGTGTAAGAGGACCTTTTGTGTACATGCCTGTTTGTAAGATCCTTCAATGTATATCCCCCTCATGCTTGTGTGTCTGTGTGTGTAGGGGATACATTTTGTGTATACTGTATGCCTGTGTGTGTGTGTAGGGGGGGCCTTTTTGTGCCCATGCCCGTGTGTGTGTGTGTGTCTGTGTGTGGCCATGATGCCCCTCCGTCCCCTAGGCGGCCTGGCGGCGCCGAGGGCCTTCTCCCTGAGGCGCCATTTCTGCCCCCTCCGCCAGCCCACGAACACGCGCGCGCGCGGCCGCCTCCGAGGCGGGCGAGGGAGCGAGGCAGGCAGGGAGCGGGCGGGCGGCCGACTCGGGCGGCGCCGAAAGGGGGTCCGTGTGGGCGGCGCCATCCGGGGAGGAAGAGGCGGCGGCGGCGGCGGCGGAGAGGCGAACAAAGAGCGCCGGCAGCCGCGCCGAGCGGAGGGAGCGTGTGGGCCGGCGGGGCAGGGGCCATGTCGGGCGCGGAGCCTCCGAAGCCGCCGCCGGGGCCGCGGGGCCTCCTGGGCCGCCTGAACCGGCGGAGCTGAGGCGGCGCTGCTGCTGCTGCTCGCATTGCCCCCTCATGGCCGCGGGAAGGGGCAGCTCCTCCGGGTGAAGGAAGGAAGGAAGGAAGGAGGCGGCGGCGGCGTCCCTGAGGGGAGAAGGAGGCGGCGGAGGCGACCGGGGGAGGCCAGGCGCCTTCTCTCCTCAGGCCGGGCATGGCGGCGGCGGCGGCGGCGGCGGCGGCCGGCGTGAGCTACTCTCCTCCGTGGTGGGTGAGCCTCCTGCACCGCCTGCCCCATTTCAGCCTCCGCTGGGAGGCCGTCGGCGACGACTTCCGACCCGAGGACGCCGAGTACCAGCAGGTGAGAAGGAAGGGGCGCCTCACGACCCGGCTCCCCCCCCCCGTGTGTGTGGTTTGTGTGTGTGTGTGTGTGTGTGTGTGTGTGTCCCCACAACACACACCGTGAAATACACCTCCACAGAGCCCATTAGAAGATTCCCCGGCCGCTTCCCCTCGCCCGAGCCAACCCAAAGAGACCTGCAGCCAACAGACCAGATTTATATATTGTCAGTCCCTTCCTCCCTCACTCGCTCTCTCTCCCCCTCCCCGGCTTCGTCTGTTTATATTTAATTCATTTACATTCATTACCCCTCCACTCTCTCACTCTCCGTGCTTTGTTGGTTTATATTTATTTAGTTATTCAATTATATTTATTTATATTATCAGTCCACGCTCCCAACCCCCCAACCCCCGCCGCTTTGTTTTTTCAGACTTGTTTATATTTATTTATTTACATTGCTCATCCACTTAATCTTCCCCTTGGCGTGCTTGCCTTATTTATTTATTTAAATTATCCAGCCTCTCGCTCTCTCTTTCCCCCCCATGCATACTTTATTTATTTATGTTTATTTGTTTGTATTGTCAAGTGCACTCTCAGCCTTCCACTTTGTTTATATTTATACATTTACAGCAAATTCATTATCGGACTTCTCTCTCTCCTCCCCTCCTCTCCCTTTGATTTTATATGTTCGTTTATTTATGATCGTTGTTCTTAATAGTGATTTTTCAGAGCACAATGTCCTGGCTTTGTACAACTGTGTGGTTTTCTTCATACAGGGATTTGCTGGTGGGGAAAGGACTGGCAGGCTCTGTTTTTATTTATCTTCTTCTAACAGCCCCTTCCTTTGATTTGATTTCCATTGCTTAAAAAGATCCTAAGCCACCCTTCATCCGAAGGGCTTCCAGGACTTTATGTAATAATAAAAAATACAATGCAGTAATAAGAGACCATATAATGAAATAGGATAACGTTTCCCCATGTGAGTGGCAGCTGAAGTATGGGGCAAAGACCATCCACATCCCTTCATTTCAACCTCCAACCTCACCACTTCCCTCATTCTATCCCATATGGCCCCCCCTCCCCGGAAATCTTTCTTTTTCACTCCCCTGTTTTTATTTATCCTCATTTAACCCTGTACCTTCTCTCCCCCCCCCTTACCCAAACCCCGTATATGCAGGCAGGGAACCTCAGTTCAGACAGAGGGGAGTTTCATATTATCCCCATTTTATATTCATCTACCTCTCATCCACACCTCGTATTTTCTCATATTTCCCCATTTTGCACACATTTCCCCACATGTACAATCTCCCCCATACTGGTCTCTTCTCTGTCCACACTTTACACACATACACACACACACACACACACAGAGAGAGAGAGAGAACCAACATTTCCTCCACATATTCCCCTAATTAATGTTAGAATTTTGAGGGGAGAGGCAATAGTGAAACTGACAAGTCCCTTTGCATTCCTTCTAAAAAATAATAACTGAGGGGGTTGTCAGAAAAGGAAAGAGCCTCTATAATCTGAGGATAGGCTTTTATACATGCAGTCAGTTTCAAAGGAATTTTGCCATAACCTTTTTAATCATCTTTTCCAAACCTCATCTCTCTCTCTCTCTCTCCCCCCCCTTCTACACTCACTTTCCTATAGTGGTTCAGGCTGAGGAGACATTTTCCTGGTAATACAATTTTCTGCATTTATGTGCACCTTCACCTTTCACTGTCCTCCATAGATCTCCATCATTTCAGTTTCCTACCCATCCACCCCTTTCTGGCAAGTATAATATATTCAGCAAAATCAAGGAATAAACCCTTTTCCTCTAGACTGTACCACTTGAAGGTCCAAGTGGGGGTTTACACATTCAAACGGTTCCCACAAACAAATTGCACACTGAACTGTGGGGGGGGGGGGAGAGGAAAAAGCTAAATTTACCTTCCCCCCATGGCATGCTTGTTTTCTATATGCAGTTTTTGAGAGCAAATTCTGGCAGGCAGTTTCCTGATTGCCTGTCTGTCAAACATAAAAATGTGGGCTTCAGAACAGCCTTCCCCAACTTGGTGCTCTGCAGATGTTTCTGGGCTACAGCTTCCATCATTGTAACCGTTGGCCAGGCTGGTGAGTTGGAATCCAGGTTGGAGAAGGCTATTTCAAGCCTTAGGATAGTTTGGAAGAGTTCTTGTATTTATCCTCCACATCATTCTCCTACAATTCTCCAGTTCTCTTTCTTATAGCAGTTCCAGTTGAGGGCAGTTCTGCTTTGGCTCCTTTGTATTTACTGTCATCATCTCTTATCCTTTCTTTCACTCCACTCAGTCGCTGCTACCCAAAACAATTGGGGGAAATAGACCAAAGTCTGTTACACACCAAAGTATTTGGGGCTATGAAAAGAGCTGTTCCCCTTTATCCCACAAATATTTCTTACGAGGTTACTGCTGAGAAAGGAGTGCCTCTTCCCAGTTGCTTTGCCTCCATACAAAAAGTTGAGTAATAGTGACTGTAGCATAGAGACATCCTGTCTGAACCTGCTTCCTTAGGGATGAAAGTAGGGGTGTTACAAATTTTGCACAAACCCATCCATTTTGCCTCCCATCTTTTCAAATCTAGAAATGCAGAGGTAGCAGAGGCGGAATTCAGGCTTGGAGGTTGAAAGCAAGTCTCTGTTTTACTGAGCTCCTCTTTACCCATTTTGTGCATGCAGAACATTAATCCAGAGTGGTTCATGTCATTACGTCCCAGGAACTTGGGAAGGACTCTGGTGGTAGTGGGAAAGTCTTCCATATTGTATTTTACCCTTTGGTTTCATCATGTATATTTACTTCTGACCCAAGTATTGGTGTTAGTCTTTCACAAGGCTTATGTTCTGGGTATGTACCTAGGAAAACAAAAGGAATTTCACATTGAATTGGGCAAAGGGTACATCTAGCCCACTCTTTGGTCTTCTAGTTACTTGGAAGCCTATTGCCACTTAGGAACAGCTTGCTGTATACTGCTTTTATTAAAATGGATGACTTACTATATTATAGCTCTGTGTTGAAATTGCAAGGATTTATTAATGGAATACTTAATTCTCCCATCTGCACAAAAAATTGGACCTGAAATCTCTGCTCTTGGTTTGACTAGCCTTCTAACTGAAATGCCTTTTACTTTTGCACCCTTTTCCCTGCCTTTCATTTTTTGAGTGGAGCTAACATGATTGCTGCCTTGTATAGCCATGATCTTTAGCTTGGGAAACATCATTTTGCACCTCTTAGTGCACTTGTTTACCTAAGGTTCAGCAAAAACCAAGCATAGAAATGGTTGTGTATCTATGCCTCCCTCTTGAACCTTGTTTCATGCATAAAGGCATTAAAGCAATCTGTTGACAAAATTTAAAATGAAGTGCAAAATAATTAAGAACCTTGCTTCCAGTCCAATCTTTTTTCTGTGTGTATTCTGTGGTTTTCATTTATTCCAATGATTTGCTATGTGGAGGAATATAGGCATGTGAAGGGGAATTCTTCTTATTCTATTTTGATACCAGTTGTGTGGCCTAAATATTATAGCCTGTCATTGATACAAAAAGTGGTACCTTCTTGGGGGAATGAATTAGATAGCCCAACTGATATTTTACATTGATATGAAACTTGATTCTCTAGGCCTGTTTTCCATGGTTCATGTTTTCTGTTGTGATAAATGTATTGCAAGATCCTTAAGTGCGTGAGCCTTTGAAGGATATGGATATAAAGAATCGGTTAGGTTATGAAGATTAAAGATGTGTATAATCTATTGAACAAGTGTGAATGCAATTTCAATAATTGGTGAATGAAAAAAATACATATACTGTATCTGTGATTGCAATTGAAAACTCAGGACTTTTGCGCATTCTTAGTATGTTGTGCCTTACTTCAACAGTACCAGAGTAGGGGGAGTGAGAGGATAAATTGAGGGTAAAATCTCCTTCAGGAGAGAAGAATGTGGTTGCAGTGGTGCGATTGTGTATTTGTGTACGGTAATGATAAACCCTTGCAACTTTTCTGTGCTAAAACTTCTAACTAGGTTTCTATTGCAGATAAATTTTTCAGTTAAGTTGGCCTGCTGAGAAATTTGGGGTCAGTTTTTCAGATGCTCTTTTGTGCGCTTAAGTGAGATAAGCATTTGCATCTACCGTAAATTTTCTATTGAACTTCCTGCTGGATGCAGTTGTATGTATTTTGCTTTTTCAGATCTAGCACTGTTTTTTCCTGTTCTATGTCCTGTCATGCATTGTGGGCAAGACAATAGAAGACCACCTTAAAGATCAGTCCCTTGACATTACAAACACACCATGCAAGTATCTCTAAACAGGAAAGTTAATAATACCTGCTTTCTCCTCAATTAACCCCTGATTGTGACTGAATGCTTGAAAGTTTAATGTATGTTAAGGGTTTATTAAGTTGCAAACTTTGGGGGGAAAAGGCTGCCCTCTTATTTTATTTATTTTACTTAGTTTTTAGTTTAATTTCTATACCATTTAATATATTTTAAAATATATCTAAGCAGTGTGCCAAAAACTTAAGCAACAACGGACAGCTTACTGTAAATATTACAAAAATACAGTTACATATAAAAATGTTACAAAGTTACCAATATATCGAGATCAATTCATTTTTCTTCTGACACACCCTCCCTCTCAGTCTCCAGGTTCTCCCCTCACCCACAAAAGTCTCAGAATGAGAAGAGATCCTGGAAGCAGCAGTCATCTCTCTAGTCTCTCACTCTAAACTTGCTTTTTATGGGCAGCCCATAGTGGATGGTCCTTCCTCAGGCTGCCCACAGCAGTCTCCACACCCAGTTACAGGTGTATCAGGTTTGTCGAGTTTCCCAGGGGGTCGAGAGGATGTGGAAAGGGCCCCCCTCCACTCATTCATCTCTTGAGGAAATATGGTTTCCTCAAGTGGTAGTGTTTTTAAATCTAACTATGGGCTAGAACTGGGCTTAAGGTTTCAGTTATGCCTTTTAGTGATAAGTGAGCCAATTTTATCTCCTGAGAACTATAGTGT